GGGGGGGGGAGATGATCTGCATATCTACACACACCAGTGTTTGCATATAAACTCAGGAGGGTCACAGAGCCTCTGAAGTCTGCCTCTGGATGTTACCGGGCCCATGGTCCCCAGGTTAAGAACTCCTATACCTGAAGAAGCAAGTTTTCTAAGTAGAAAGTGCTACTTTCAACCCCTTTCAAAACTTATCTCCTCTAGAATAGAAACTAGAGTTCATGAGGTAATCTATAAAATTCAGGGAGAAAGCAATCCCAACAACTCAAATAGATGAATTAAGCCCTAATCAATATTTCCATATTTCTAACATGTGTAAAGTAAAAAAAAATGTCTAAGAGAAATTTAAACCTACATGTATTTTACTACCGATTTCACATATGGACGTGGAATATCGTTTCTCCTAATATGGAGATGGCTCAGCAGTATTTAAATGATTCCTTATTCCAAGTCATGTAAATATGCACCAGATGTATCTTTTGTAAATGTTATGTTTTTCAACTTCTCAGCATTTGCAAGTAGTTGAAAGCTATGTCAAGCATGCTTTAATGGGGCATAAAAGTGTATTGTATTCAAAGAGATGGCACAGCTCTGTAATAGGTGAAAATACAAATGTTGTCAATGGATACATTTTCATTTTATTGATTTACACTCCATAATAGCATGCCCTGTAATCTCCTTTCCGTGCAAGTTCTGTATCAATTGAAATATAACTAGATATTTAAAAATCATGCTTACATTAATGGATCCTCAGGATGACAGAAAATTCAAAACACAGAATTTTATGACTAGAGGGCAACTCAGAGATCAAGTTAATCCCATGCCCTGATTTAATAGACGAGAAACTGAGACCAGGAAGGTGGCACGAGGGAGCCACACCACTAAGCTACTTGTGGCTTTGTGCATGAATTTATACACCCCTGAAGATACGGAACCTTACTGAGTTCTTTATACTACCTGCCTCTTGACTACCTAAACAAAAAATAGAAGGAACAGCAAAACATATATCACTTATTGATTTCCTGCGACTTACTGAGAAGAAGCAGACGTCATCTATATTTTGCAAAGTGTCAAATTATCTTATAGGAAGTAAACATAGGAAGTAAAATGCCAATTGCTAGCATTAAAAATTGTCAAAGAATATCATAACACTTTTTCACCAATATAAAATCCTAACGGACTCAAGATTAGCTTTTTCATTTTTAAAACGAAAGATATCGTAGTGAATTCTTTTCAGAACATTTTCTTGGAGGTTAGATATTATATCAAAGATGTTTAGGAAATACATTCAAGTCAGATGTAGTTGATAGTTCATCTTGAAAAGAGTGCCTTTTTAAAATAAAAGTTAACATAGATTGATAGCTTATTGTAAAACTCTTTTTTTATTCTTTTTCTCTTTTTTTTTGCTGTGGAGAAAGCAAACCCTATCTCACGTCATGACTTCCTAACATCACTAAGCAGAGTAAGCATTTGAGAGTATGTATCAGTATATGCTGACTTCACCTGCCTCATTTTCCCCAAATTAGTTTCCCCTGCCACATATTTTTATAAACTGCCTCAAATTCTTTCTTGGAATGAGGCAGCATATTAATTAACTAATAACTAATTAATAACTTGGTGAAAGTCATTTTCTAAAAGCCAAGTAACCTTTTCACTTTGACCTTTACAAATAACATTTTGCCCTTTGGGGACCAGTGGCAGCAAGGAAGATTTCATTTAGAATGAAATCATTGCAGAGCATTTTTCAACCTTCCACAGCCGACTCTATCTCCTCTTGGACCCCACACAAAACCCCATCTTTTCCCTCTCGCCGGGAACCAGGCTTGCACACTCTGCTCCGTGGCCCAGATTCAAGGCGTTCCCCGGGGAGGCACAGAGTCCAGCCTCGCTGATTGATCCCGGGCTCGCCTGAAACAGCTCCTTTGTCTCCGAACGATGCCGGATCGGTGAGAAGGTTAAAGACAGTGGCTCTGCCTGTGGCTGCAAGGCATCCGCATGGTCACTGCGAAGGTGTTTACGGGCTGAGCCTGAGCCGAGAGAGGAGCAGAAGCAAGTGAAGCGGCCCCGAGAGCTCCTCCGTCAGCCTGGAAGAGACATCTCCGGACTCAGAGCCAACATCACGTTTAGGGATGGCGCTTCCCATCAGTAGGTTACCCTCCTCGCCAGGTGCTCGGATACAGAGAAACAGACACACTTACTGTTGTCTATTTAGTGCAAGGTTTATAGATACACACTCATGCCCCTTAACTTGCCATGCCTCAGTGTTAATGGGGCATCCAAACCAAATTGTAATACTCATTTCTGGTGAATCCGTGAAGCCTTATGGAGCCTTATTCTGCCCTCACGATCACGGAGGGCTGGGAGACGGGGCTCACTATGGTACTAGTGTACACAGAGGTCCCAAGAGCCTTTACCATCCTGTTTTGTTTTTGTTTTTGTTTTTGCGGTACGCGGGCCTCTCACTGTTGTAGCCTCTCGCGTTGCGGAGCACAGGCTCCGGACACTCAGGCTCAGCGGCCATGGCTCACGGGCCCAGCCGCCCCGCGGCATGTGCGATCTTCCCGGACCGGGGCACGAACCCGTGTCCCCTGCATCGGCAGGCGGACTCTCAACCACTGCGCCACCAGGGAAGCCCACCATCCTGGTTTTGACGTGAGACTGCTGGGGACGCTGCACTCTCAGATGTCACAGGACTGCTTTGCAGGCAAGCACAGAGGTGGCCCTAAAGAGGTGACATCTGGGGATCTCCAAGACAGGGAGAAAGCAGCAGGGTCCCAGAATTGGCAAAGCAGTAAAGCATCGCTGGTAAAAGCACCTTGTCTCCAAGAGACGTGACCAAAGTTCAGAACTGGGTACCACCACTCCGGGACCTTGGGCAGGTAACTTAGCCCCTGGAAGCCTCGGTTGGCTCATTTGTCCAACTGGGATACAGGCTGCATTTCAAGGGGTGTTTAGAGGCTTAACTAGGACAATGCACACAAGGTCCATGTTTCAATACCTGGTACATGGTAAGTCCTTGGTAACATGTGGTTCTTATTATTACTGTTGTTGTCATAGAAATTCTCCTTCGAGTCTTTATGCTTGAAAACAAGAAAAGATTTGCTTGGAAGAGCTCACCTTTTCTCATCTTCCCAAACTCAGAGATGAACACAAGCTGATGAGTCCTGACGGACCATTCACCCTCCAGCCCATGCAGAGGAGTTCAAAACAGAAGAGAGAGAAGAGGGTGGCCAGGGCCCGGGTTAGAATCCACCGTTTCCCATCAGCAACAGCTTTGGAGTCCAGCCACCTGCATCCCCAAGCGTGGCTACCTCGCTCCCATGACAAAGCCCAGGCGACAGTGGCAAGAACATTTTCAGAAGGACAGAAGGACCTCATAGGTTGACACTTTCCCTGGTCGCCTGGGAGGACAATGGAATCCCGGCTGTTTCAGTTTTCTGAGGGCTAGAGGGGAAACCCCATCAAACCTGAACCTCTGTCGGAGGTTGGGCGTGGAGAGTCTGTACCTCCAGCGGGCGCACGGCGCATGCTCCATAAAGACCACACCCTCGCGCAAATTGACTGCCAACGGTGGTTTCTTCCGCATCACCTACTCCGCTGCCACCCAAGCCCTCCTAAGTTTCTCCGACGCCTTGGGAAACCAATTCAATGCTTCCCTACCCTCACTGTATACCTATAACATCTTTAAAGCATAAGGCTTGGCACAAGAAAATTTAAAAATAGACAACTCTGCATTTGATGCTAAATGCATGTATCCCTTAGGAAAATGTACATGAAACTTTTTCCCCTCTCCACAAAAACCAACTTAGCTTTTAACCAGTGCCACTAAATTGACTGCAAGCTAAAATCAGCTCATGGACACAGCCAAAGCCGGTCCGGCATTGACTTCTAAGAGCCGGAGGGCAGAGTGCATGTGTGACTACGTCCGGTTTCCTATGAACATGAGCAACTTACTTTACTTGTACTGCAGCAAGTCTCACACACACACACACACACACACACACACTCACACCCCACTTTAGAGTTGGGTCTGGTGGGCTGGTCCTGTTTAATAGAGAGGGGTGAGCTCTGTGTAGACTGAGGAACATAAAAATATAAGGACATGCTCAAGCCCCATGCTCTTTGAAGGGTAATTCATGTTGTTGCCACTGATTTTTCGTTGTCCACTGATTTTACTTCCAGGGCAGCTCATCACACTGGGCCTAGAGCCTCCCAAATGAGACCTTTCCTTCTCGCGAACACAATGGTTGCTAATGTATCCAATTCACCAACAGCACTATTTTCAAGATGCTTTTATATTTATTAGAAATGATATATTTTTTAATTGCATCAAAACTCTTTTGATGGCTTGGGTTTTGGGGTTTTTTATTTTTTCCTTTCTTTAAGGACCCTGCATTTGGGGTTAAGGGCAGTAAACAGTAGCCAGTCCTGATTGGACAACAGCTGTTTCTTTATGGGAACCTTACTTGCCAAGTAGCTGGACAGCAATACCCATTTGGTATTCATGGGAATTACTTGCTGAACAATAATGACAATAATTGCCTCTGATTCTTGTGTTTACAACACTGCCAAAGTATCATTAGGGCCTTATTTATAGATAATAATGCTTATTAATCACAAGTATTTGAATTTTGGAATGTATTAGATTAATATTCTTTTGTACCTCAGTTCTGTACTAATGCTGTGAAAGACATTTACTGAATGCAACTCATTGGGAATGCTTATTTTGAGCTGCAAAATAATGTGTGTAATTTGCAGGTGAAAGATAAAGAAATTACATGGCTACCTCTGAACAGCCTCCACCATGATCAGTGGCCAACATGGAAAATTAGGCCTTAACTCTAAAATGAGTAAAAAAGGAAGCAAAATAGATATCCCTAGAGGTACTATTTCCAAAAACTCTTGTAAATTCTTACGACAGGAGAACTTCCCAATAATAAGTCTATTATCTTGTTTTGCCATAAATCTTCAGTGGATGGCATTATTTCATTGAAAAGGGTCTGGGGTGAGAAATAATGAGCGATTCTGTAATAATTCCACGTTGTGTAAGTTTTTGGAGGCTCAAGGAAAAAATAGGGTAGTGTGACTAGACTAGTAATTGTAAATAGCAAAAGTACAATCTTAGGTTTAACTGCTCAGTTGTTAAATATCCTTCATTCACTGATTCATTACATTTTTCTAGATGTTTACTTTCTGTGCAAGCAAACATTAAAGCTCTAAGTATTTCCCTATTTTTAGGCGCATCTAGAAGTAGGAATCATGAAAAATGTCAAAAGATTATCACACTTTTTCATAATTTCTGTTAGTGTAATATAACAACTTTATAAATAAATATAAAGCATTACTCACCTATAGTTTTCACCTGGTCACTCCCTCTTGTCATTATAGCAAATATGAAATCAGCAATATTTTTTATCTGGCATACATTTTATTTGTTCTTGGAGTAGCTTATGTGTTAGAACAATATTTCAGTTGTTTAATTAGCTGAATGCAAAATGTAGTGACATAATTTTCCAGAAATTTTTGAGAAAGTAAGCAAAGCTCATTAATATAGATTCTGGGTGCTATTTTTAAAATAATATTTGCAACTAGATATCTTTTTAAAAATCTCCTGTAATTAAGGTTTACTAATGTTCTATAAACTAAACCCAAATCTTATCCTACTCTACCAAAGACTACTTTAAAATAGTCTATGGACCTAATTACCACCTACAATACATAACATTTCCCTCTCATATTTTTGTCCCAGAGAGAAGGTAAAGGGACTGCACCTTTGAATTCAAATTACACAGAGAAAATTGTCCTCCCTAAAAGACCCTTGAAAATGTGTTCAGCAGATGTTTGCAAGTCAGAGCGTACAAGATTCTAATTTATTAAATGTATAATGCTAACATTTTAATCCATTGCTAAATGTAAATAACCTTAGCAATCCCAGTTGGACTATTTAACATTAATTTAAAGTATTTTACAATATTGTGTGTGTCTCCTCTCATGGGGCTAAGTAGAAAGGTGAACAATTATCTAATAACTTCAATCAATGTACTCAGCCAAAGCTGGAAAGTCAGCCCCCTCCACTCTCTTTATTTAAATCTAGTAACTGCCTCACCTGGAGGTCCATTCAGGTGTGTGTTCCAATGGTACAATGCGGAATCAAGCAAGATCTTCTAAAACTTGTTGCTAGCTTACAAATTTAATCACTATAGATAGCCAATCTAGACTGTTCAAATTTCACTCTCTCTCTCTCTCTCTCTCTCTCTTTTTTTTTTCTTAATAGCTAGGCTGGAGGAAGAACAGCATTGCCTGAATTCCTCAAATAATTAATTAAATTCTCTGATTTATTTTGCCTTTGGTAGACATTGCCTGGTTCTCTCTTTAAAAGATGCTGGTAGTTGGATGAGGAAAGAAAATAAATGTTTTGAGAGAGCACAGATACATCTCACCTCGATGTGTGTCACTAATAGTGTCTAAACAGTGAGGCTGAGTACCTGAAATCCCCCTGGGTGTCGTTCAGAACCTCACTAAAGCGGTCTCACCCAACTGCTTACAGACTTAAAAAAAAAAGGCGGGGGAGGAAAGGCAGAGAGGGAGGGAGGGAGGAAGTAGAGGAGAGAGGAAGAAAATGGTTAGTCTATGAAGCTGGAGTTTAAATTTATTAAGAAGATAATTCACTGTGAAACTGGTTTCACAGAGTAACTTGCTCTCCACCGACATCTGAGCAGTTTTCTAACAGCCTGGTTGGCTATGAAACTTGATATCTGTCAACATCTTATAGTTGCCCTGAGTTAATAAGCTTTTTCCCTTCTTTTCTGTAACTGACAAATTTTTTAAAAATTGGATCTTGGATGTCTACATTCTAGGGAGTTTTATCTGCTATATTATAGTTCTGTCTGCTTTTCGGCCACAGAACACCAAAGTGTTTATTCTTACAAGTCTTTCTATATATGTAACTTGAGCTTACTAAAACAGTCCTTTACTCACTTCATTAATTAAATCGACAGAAAAGATTCTTTTACATTTTGGAGTGAATGACTCTTTATCCAAATTTTTTAATACGCGTTGTGCAATTTTAGATCATTATATAGCCTATGTCTCCTTCTATCATACCACACCATCAGATAGAAAACTTTCTAAAATAAAAGACTAACTTATTTTTACAGTTGATTTTAAGCCCCATCTAGAGTAAAATGTTTTTACTTCTTTCCAAGTAATATTCTTTTTTAAAATTTTTTTCACTTGTGGTATTTCCATCATTTTAACTTTAATTTTTTTAAGAAATTAAAAAACCTCAAAAAGCACTTCGGCTAAACTGATTTTTATTTTCACAAGCTCATCACTAATATTTAGACACCACCGATGAGTCATCAGTCTTTGAAATACTCTGAAATAAACAAGCAATAAATTACATGTGGGAATAAATGCCATCATAAACACCGTATATGTTTTTCAGCAAAGAAATGTACATTGACATAAACATAGGAAAGCCAACAAAATATTTTGTAATATCAGTAAAAATAACTCTCATTACACGAGAGAGCTCCTTCTATCACGGTCTTCAAGAAAATTTCAAAACTTTATCATTTTGATTCTTTTTATCAATGAGGACAAATAACTTTTCAAGCATAACCTTCAGGTATAATATTTCTTTACATTTGCTCAGCGTGAACAGGCATTTGGATTCTTGCCAATGTATTCATTTTAACTGTAATTCTTATTTCAACCAAAAAAAAAAAGTGTTTGAAAATGCAAAGATTCAAAATACTATGTAAAAAGAGGCAAATAAGTAAGATGTCATCCCATATTACACAAATCGTTTCAAGGATAAACTTATGCCTCCAACTTGCTTTTCCATTTGGAATTATCACGACTACTGAATGTCTTTTAATGACATAAAGGCCCACAGAATTAAACTACTTAAAAAATGTTTTCCTTACAGCAGAATGGAAAATAAAACTAATGCTCTTTTCCATTGTGTGCCGAATTGAATTTTTGTTCGAACACAACAGTATTTAATTTGCAGGGAAAAAATAGATGAAAAGTACCTGAATTTAGATAGAATGTTTATATTTTAAATTCTAACGTATGGTGCCCTTTTTTATTTTATGTAAAATGAGTCATTTATAGTATTTTTAAATGGAGCGTGCTGAAAATATTAATACTGTGCATGGATTTTTTTTTAACTGACTCCTGCGGTGTCATCTACAGCTGGCACAATTCAGATTTCAAAAGAAATTTTGAAATTTTTTTCAATAGGCATAAGATTTACTCACTCTTCCTCTTATTTTAGGACTATCTGTTATAGAATGTATTGTTACTCGTTGAAGTTTGGTATAGTACACATGGGCATGTTATATGCAAATGTATTCAGTTGGGGTATGTATATATTTTGTTATGTTATGTACATAAACATCTACCCTCGTGCATATGTATATTTACATCATGTATAAATATGTGTATATTACCAAAGGGTCCTATACTGAAGGAGGAGGAGCTTCCAAGGGACTGTCATACAATATTTTAGTTAACTGTTAACTGAGGCTGTTTTCTACGAAAGTAATTAGGTTTGCTTTTTCTCACAGTCCCAAAGGTGGGTGTTTATAGACATGGTTTACTTATTACTGTTTTCCAAAAGGCTACTTTTTTAATCTTATGTCAACATATGCTTTAAATAAATGAGTGGTGCCCCCCCCCCTTCACCTTGCCCTTCTCTTAGGAAGGCCTATGGGCAAACAGCTTGATAAATAATTCAAAGAAAAGCTGAACTTTGAATCCAAAGACAAAAGCTCATCCTGTTAAACATTGACATTTTACCATTAACCTTCTTTACCAAAATTTAGCTGTCTATACATTATCTTATGAAAAGGAGTGATGGAAATAGTATCAAGATACTGGCTGGTGAGGGTCTCTTGAGGTGAATGTGAGTAAATTTCACTCAGAGCCTTTCTCCAGAACAGGAGGTCTTATAGTGAATTGTGACTAAGAGTTAAACCACATAAGGTCCATCTAAATCCAAGAAGCAAAAACATATATACCAATGGTGTTTCCAAACTAGTGAAAATCCCCAGATGCAAACATTAGGACAGAAAGAGGACACAAAGTATTTATAAAGTTTATTTTTAGGATCCTCTGAAAGTCACATTATCAAAACTACAGTTGGGCAACTGGGTTCATATTTTCAGTGATGGAGAGAAATATTTAGCCTTTTTCTGAATTCTCTCTGCCCTGTGTTCCCCCTTGAGAGTTGAACAATTTGGATAGGCTAGTTAATGTTGTAAGAAGGAGGAATTTCATTGGGCCCAAGTTTTCTTCTATTAGTCTGCTTTCCTCTTGTCTAATAAGAGATAACTGACAGCCCTGTTTTGTATGAAATTATGAAAATCAGAGATTGGAGGAAAGGAGAGTCATTATTTCAGAACTGAAAAGATGTGGGTGTCTGCACTCCCCGCCCCCCCTCAAAAAAATTCCCATCACTGGAAAGGAGCCCGCAAACTGGCTGACAGGTCAGCTAAAGAGACCCACAAAAGTGATTTTCAACTGATTCCTACCTCTACCCTATGCCTCCCAAAACAATAAAAACAACATCCACGCAAGCCCCTTTGAAGGCCAAGACCGAGAGGAAGCAGATACACAAGCCCCTGAAACGTGGCTTCCCAGTGGGTGAAATCCCCTCTCAAGGGCAGGCAGGAGCCTGGAAAGGCTCTCTCGGTCGCATTTTTCAGCGGACACGGTCCCTTTCGGCTCACCCTCGCTCACGTGGGTCCGGGGGTCCATGAACATGCCGGGACCCCAAGAGGGATCTCTCTGGGGCTCAGAAGGGATGGAAGGCGGAGGAAGGAGACGCTCGCGTGGGGGGCAGGGGAGCTCTAGGTGGCAGATTTAGATCCCACAGCTGCACCAGAGCATCCCTCACCGCCTCCTGCCCTGCCCTGCGCGCGCACCGCACTCCCACGCACGCAGCCCACGCACGCAGCCCTCGCACCCGCGCGCGCGCGCACACACACACACACACACATCACCACGCACACCGCACCTGCACACACGCACAGGCACACCGCTCCAAGCCGCTCCGCAGGGGAGCCCCTCCCGGCGCCCGGCCCTGCCCGGCGAGCGGACAGCGAGGCTCCCGGGACTCCGGAGCCCGCGGGCCGGGAAAGAGGCGCGCGGCCGCCGACTCCGGCCGGGGTTGCCTGGCGCCGACCCGAGAGGGGTCGGGAGCGGGCAGGAAGGGCCAGGGAGGGGTGACCCGGCGCGATCCCTCCCCACCCCCGGCTCTCCTGCCGCCCTCCTGCGCCCTCCTCCAGCCGGCTCCCCCCCCGCCCCTCCGCCGGCAGCTCGCGTGCGGAGGGGGCGCTGGCTGTGCGCGTGCGCGCGGGCCGGGCGCGGCCGTGGGCAGCGCGGGGAACCCACGCGGCCCGGCCACCCGCGGGCGGCGCGGTGGCTCCTCCGGCGCCGGCCTGCAGGGGGCGCCGCGCTCGCGGGGCCGCGGCCTCTGGCGCGGAGGAGGGGCCGCGAGGCCGGCGCGGAAGCGATCTCGGCCGCGCGTCTCTGGAAGGTCGCGCGGAGTCCGGAGGCTGGTGCTCGCCCGCAGGACGGGGACGGCGCTTTCCCGCTTGTCACCAGCTAGTCCGCTCTCGTGTCCCGCGGCCGGAGGGGGACGGGAGCTGGCCGGGGAGGTCTCCTCCTGGCCGGTGGGCTTTGCCTGCCTGCTCGGAGCTCTGGGTGGGCAGGAGAGCTCTTCTTCTCTAGCGCACGGCCGCGCCGGGCATCGGAAAGTTTCCTACCAGCTGGGGGACGGAGGCGGACGAAGTGCGAGCCTGCTTCCAGGCTGGGACGACCTGAAAGTACCAGAAGTGTCGCCGGCCAGCCGCGCCCCCGGCTTCCCCAGCAGTCACCCCCTTTCCTGTTCGGGCGGGCGCCGGGCCGGGGGGCCGGGGAGACCTGGCAGTCCCGCCGCCCGCCCGGTGGGCTTCGCGCCGCCACCCACGGGGACTGCCCGCCCTGCAGCTTCGCTAGAGGAGGACGGTGGAGCCACGATCCCAGAGGACCAGAGTCCGTGTCCTGCCCGTGCAGGGCACCGAGGGGTCTCGATCAGGCCCAGGGCCTCTGCAAATACTTCAGAGGGGCGCCCGGGCCAAGAGTACCCTTGGAATAGAACCTCGGACTCCGGGGTGTCCACGTCCCTTTCTCACTTCAGAAGTTCACCTGAGCTTGGGGTGGTGACTGTCCCCCGTCCCGATCGATACGGACCCAGCAACCAAGGCCAAAGGTGTGCAGACTTTTTTTTTTAAGACCCACATCTTACAAACGTGAGATTTTTTACCAGGCAGCCCAGATGACTTAAAGCGTGTACCATCTCTCCGCGATCCAATTTTATTAGGATTTACTCTCATTTGTGCTCGGCTTCTCTGGGGAAATAATGCTTTGATTAATGTAATCCTGGCCCGGGATCCGCCACATGCCCCTCGCCCCTCTCCCAAGAGAAAGGGCCTGTTTGACAAACAATAACAGAGCAGCAACTCTTGCAATCTGCCCACACCTTTGGAGGTGGCTAGGGAGAGGGTGACACACGATCCCACGCCGTTTGCTAAAGGCAAGGGTGAGAGGAGGGAGCGGGCTGTGCGAGGGACGAACTTTCCAAACGCAGAGCCTCGGACCCCGAAGCGCGGGGGCTCCAGGGGAGGGCCCCGGTGGGGTGCGCGCGTGGGTGCCTGTGCGCGCTCGCCCGCTGGTCGCTCCGGCCGTCTGCCTCTTTGTCCCCAGCCACAGGCCTCGGCGACGGGGATCTGCGCGCTCCCCGTGGGCAGCCTCCGGACCCAGGGCGCGTCCACAGCGCCCACGCGCGGTCCCAAAGCACCTCGAGAGCAGATCTTGGGGGAGAACCGGGCACTGACCCGAGGCGCCCTACAGCCGCCAAAACCTTGGCCAGAAACCTGGAACGCAGGGCCAGATTCAGCGGCACTCCTCCCGCACCGATGCCTGCGCCCCTCCGGCCGTGCACTCTCGGACACAATGCGGATCCGCCGCGAGCCGCGCTCGCCCCCGCGGCAGGCGGAGAGCGGGCGCCTCTTTCCCGCTCGTCCGGCACCTCCCGCGCCGCCCGGCCCCCGCCCCGAAGGAGAACAGCTCAATTACGAAAAGAGCGAAGGCAGGAAATCCCAGGCTCCAAGGCGCCCGCCGACGCTCCTCTGGTCCCCGTCCCCTTCGCCCCGTCCCCACCCCCAGCTTCCCCAGCTCGGGGGGGGGGGGGCGGGG